CTCATTACTTAAAATATTTATACAGTGGTCCCTCGTTTTTTGTAATTAATCCGTTCCTGGAGCCGTTACTATTAACGAAATTTACGATTTACGAATCAATTTTCCCCATAAGAAATAATGTAAATACAATTAATCCATTCCTGACACCCAGAAGTATTAAAACAAAAAAAAATTTTTACATGAAATATACATGTAGTACATAAACAATACAATGGGAAATGATGAATGAAACATTAACAGCATAACACTTACCTTTATTGGAGATTCTTCTTAGTGTATGGGAGACTGGAGGAGGAGAGAGATTGGATTGTTTACAGTTTGGAAGGGGAATCCCCTTCCAGCAACACCTCAGGTACCAATTGCTTCTCTGGGGTTGCTTCTCTTCTCTGTTTCTTAACGGCACTAGGACCACCTTGAGAGTCACTCTAGTCCTGTCTCGCAAAGTAACTGTGGAGAGAGCTCTGTTTCTGGCGTCTCTTTAACCCTTTGAGGGTCGACAGGCCCTCTCCGAAACTCGTTCTCAGGGTCGGCCAAATTTAAAAAAAAAAAAAATTATTTTCTCTTATGAAAAGATAGAGAATCTTTTCCCGATCATAAAGACACCAAAAGTTTGAAATTTGATAGAAAACTTACGGAATTATGCTCTCGCAAAGTTAGCGGTCTCGGCGATGTTTACGCATCGGCGATTTTGCCCACTTTGAGCCCCATTTTCGGCCAATTTCACTGTACTAGTCGACAAAAAACATGAATATTTCGCTAGAACTCCATTTTTTCTATCGAATGGATGCAAGAAACCACTCATTTATGAAATTCAACTATCCAGTACAGTGGTCAGAATTTAGCAATTTTGCCAATTTCACACAAATTTCAAAAGATGCCAATTTCGGAATAGGGTCCAGAATAAACAAGAAAGACATTCCTGGCACTAAAATGACATTTCCTCTAGTCATTAGTCATGTCTCAAGTCCCCTCTTATATTCGTTTGCTTTCCACTTTGAATTTTTATTTTCACAAAAAATATAAGATTTACTGTTATGCAGACTACTGCATTAGTGTAAAAAATGGTATAAATATTATTGGTGCACTTGTAAAAGAATATTAGACTCACCAGTTGACGTGTATTGCACGCTTGGCACGATTTGTTTACTTTTGAAGTTTGGTAAAAATCGAACATTTCTGCTACTTTGAGCTCAATTTCAAGGCACCTTTCTTTGTAAAACCAGTCAAAATCATCTCAATTTCTGTAATATGTCTTCCATTCTATAAAATGAGACCAAGAAAACTAGAATACAACAATAAATACCATACGAAAATACACTGCAAAGTCGCTGATTTCTTCAAAAAAAATGGTCAAAGTTTTCTTTTTCTCATGCACTGTGTGCTGCAGGATTTTTTTTAGACTGTGCACACTGACCACATAGACCCATTCTTTCATATGAAGGCCTACCAGCTTTCTCCCACTAGATTTGAGGCCGCTAGAATTTATGAGTACTAGTACGTCAAAAACCCCTACGCGTAAAACGTACTAGTACGACGAAAACCCTCAAAGGGTTAACACTTCCCTAAAATGGCCCAAGACTTTGTCACTGTACATATTTCTCACCTTTACCACAGGCTTGGCACTAGGAACTTTCTCTGGAGCCATGGTAGCTTATTTAGTACTTGCAAGCACTAAAATGAGTGGAATATTATGAAATATTTCGTAGGAGCACTTGAGGGGACCTTCACTCACTTGTAAACAATGCCAGCCTGGCTGGGTAGGGAGGCCTCCCCGGCTCACACCGTGCGTACGCGTCCCAGACGAACTACTATTCGCGAGTTAACCTATGAAAAGTGAGTCCATGTTTATACGAAAATACCCCTATGATTGGCGAAATTTACGATTGCCGAGAACTACGAAAAGCGAGGGACCACTGTAGTCTTAAGGATACACTATTCGTATGAGCATATGCTCCGTTGTTTACCATCGGATTTCCTCCAGTTTTGGTGCACAAGACAGTGTTTTCACTCTTTCCTGAAAATATTTATCAAAAATATACCTCTAACAACAACTGAAAAATGACTGATTTACTGAAGATGCCATTTGCCCCCGAATCATTTCTATGTGGGACGACGTAAGGTTGTTTGGACACTTGGTGCCGAGAGAACAATGCTAATACGAATTTCTAATATTCTAATATCCTCTAAATGTCTTATCATTATTTCACAAAAAAATTAAATTTGTTAGTACTTGGAATGTTGCAGAAAAATCTGCCCTTTACTCCCACAAACTCCCAAAGTATTTGGAACATTTCCAAAGTTATGTCATTAGAAAATAGAGAAATCATTATTCTACAATTTCTGTGAATATTATTCCATTTAATTAATAACGTCGGAAAACGGCGGCATAAATGAATAAGTTACTTCCGAGATGTTGGCCTGGAGCGCCGGCCGGCCCCCCGTCTCGAAAAAAAAAAAATTGCGAAAATTGCAATTGTTTGGGTGTATTTCTTAGTAAACTGGTGTTCTAGTGCAGTTATCCTCTTCAACACACCGTTTTCTATCATTGAAGACCAAGTCATACAACAAGAAATCGAGAGGTAACAATTTTATATTGAATATTACTGGTGGATTCTCGCCATATTATGGTCTATTTTATTCAGTCTAGAGTATATAACATGTTTGTATGTTATTTATAGTGTTTATTATATTAGATCAATTCTTATAGATAAATAAGCCGTAGAGTTGATATATAAGCTGATATAGCGTAATAATGAAGTTTTCTCCTGGCACTCTGGAGCGGTGGTAGGCCTGGTAGGCTCTAAGTCTATGGATAAGCTCCGCCTACTGTTTTATGATGCCATATAGTCAGTTATTATATTAGAAAGAATAATGCAAGAAAAAGCTATTAAAAACAAGGAAAAAATTCCAAAATATATATGGGGTGTGAGCAGACGCACTACCCATATCACTGTCACCTTACCTGATATGAATGACTATAATTTCTTGTAGAAACGTCACAGAACGTTGATTCTTGTACCATTGTGTTGCCAAAGAGTAAAGCTATTTTTCTGTATGAATAACTCAATTTCCATAATTTTGTTATTTGTTTTGGAGAGCACACGAATAATTCGAATATAGCGCCCTTAATCTAGGGTGAGACAAGTACATAGCATTTATTGTAAGAAATCAGTTGTGGTATGTATGGTAGTCAGCCGGGCTACCATACCAGGCCACCCCGTCTACACATAATATTCTATTACATTTAAGCATCCCAGAGTGATAAAATGCATATACAGTTTACTCATTATTTACCTTAAAATATTTGTAGTCTTAATGTAGGGTCGGGTGAGTGAACGAGATAAAACGAATAAATGAGAGAGAATGAGTACATGAGGGAGGAAAGGCAAGGCGCAGAGTTATGTAAACAAACCAGGCGAACGTAAGTTTTGTAAACAAAATGTATACGTCTGGTTTGTGTACAAGTTACAATGTGTACAAGTTGTCTCTACATTGATACAGTAGAATAAATAAAGAACACTCCCATTCTCATGTAACACCATTTTTAGAAGAAATGATGCTCTGAGTGAAGGCAGTGGAAATAAGTCACTTGACTTTTTTGGGTTATCCTAGGTTCTCTACACATATGCTGTTATGTATGATAATCTATGTAACTATTTGTGTATACCCGGAGTTTACCTGGAGAGAGTTCCGGGGGTCAACGCCCCAGACCAGGCCGCCTGGTGGATCAGAGCCTGATCAACAAGGCTGTTACTGCTGGCTGCACGCAAACCAACATATGAACCACAGCCCGGCTGGTCAGGAACTGACTAAGTGCTTGTCCAGTGCCAGCTTGAAGACTTACATACATACGAAAGGAATAATTTTCTACAGTTACCCCCAGTAACACATTTTCTCTTAGGTTAGAGAAAATGTTATTCTTCCCGTCACTTGTACAAGTTATCTGGCTATGACATCTCATATTTGTTTATTTATTCTATTGTGGGGTGTATTTATCATCTTTATATGTTATGTATCGTGTTTATTATGTAATTTTGAAAAAAATATCATGGATGGATTAATGAAAATGTGTATATTAACGTAATATATGACATTTAATGAGACTCGATGATTATTATTATTATTATTATTATTATTATTATTATTATTATTATTAGTATTATTATTATTATTTCTAATATGGCATCACTTGTGCAGGTTGTCTGCTACCACATCTCATATTTATGTTTATTTATTCTATTGTAGGGTATTTATCATCTTTATATGTTATGCATCGTGTTTATATAATTTTGAAAAAATATCATAGATGAATTAATGAAAATATGTATACGTATTAATGTAATATACGACATTTAATGAGACTCGGTGATGATGATGATGATTATTATTATTATTATTATTATTATTCTTATTATTATTCTTTATTATTATTATTATTACTAATATGGCATCTCAAGACATAAGACACTCTTAGTGATTTTAATGTGTACCTGCACGCCAGCACAGTATGTAAGTTTATTTAGGTACAGCATTACATAAATATAATTATCAGAGTATATATAAATATAAAATAACTTTTAAAAAACACTTGAAATTTTGGAGTTTCCATACATAACGAAGAGACTTAGTGCTTACGGATCTCACAGAAAATGTAAACAAACTGGGTTGGGCCTGGTGACCGTATTAGAAAGTCAGGTGGGGGGAGCCGTACAGCGAGTTTTGGTCATAATTTGAAATGACCATATTAGCAGAACGCCGTAAAGCGGGGCCCTACTGTATATGGTTGATACAGTATATAATGTATCCATTCAGCTACATATTCCATTAAGCTTAGGGTGATGTTAAATGGTACATACCTAGAAACATGTAGTAACAAGTTCTGTAAATACAAGTGGAGGCAGGAGCATATAAAAAGTACTTTAGGGTGGTAATAGGGGTTCCTCTCCCCTCAAAAAAAAAAAAAAAAATCCTTGCATTACTTCTAAATTGATTTTGCACAGGGACGACTTACGTTCCCTGTCCAGCAGCAAAAGGCGATGGATTCCTCCTTCTAGTTTGAGACGAGATGCACTTACCCCAGACAACAAATATGACCTCACTTTCCGGAAGGTAAGATTGTCAGGTGAACCAGTCCATGTTAATTAGTGTAGCGTTTGCCATGATTTTCTCTAGCTATTGTACAGTACGTGCAATTTTACTCTTGTGTGTCTAGTTCGAGTGGTAAATTTATGGAATCCTTCAGCATATACAGTATATACTTGGTAGTTTGTAGTACTCAAGGCAGAAAGGTTAAAAAAAAAAATATACTGCATTTTGGTTACTGTACTTTAGGAATGAAAGTTCTCCAAAAGTATATAATGTATTTGTTGTAGATTGTATTCTTTCAGTAATGTAATAATTGTACTATTCTAGTTAGTTAAGTTTTGTATTTTCCTCAACATTTTCAAGGAACTGTAAACTGATGGAAGAATTATATTTCAGGTTCGAGGAGTTCTCAACAAGCTCGCCCCCGAGAAGTTCCATAAGTTAAGCAATGACATCCTAAATGTAGGCCTTGATTCCACCACAATTCTGAAAGGGGTCATTTTGTTGGTAAGTATTAAATTTGTATTGTGAATTGCTTGGAACAGTGGAAATACACTAGCCATCAATATTCATAATACTCTTCAATGTTTTCTTTTTCCAGATCTTCGAAAAGGCCCTTGATGAACCGAAATATTGTTCTATGTACGCACAGCTGTGCAAGCGGCTGTCAGAAGAGGCTCCTAACTTTGATCCACCTGACGGACCTTGTACTTATAACCGCCTACTTTTGAGCAAGTGCCAGGTTTGTAGTGTAGCTGCTACTATTGTAAAAGTGCCCCATCACTTTCCTGACAATCTTCTCCATTACCTTAGCTTGTCAATACAGTTAGGAATCCTTAACCTGTAAATTGCTTGTCAATAAGCTAGGGATCCTTAACCTTGTCAAACCATGCGTAAAAAAAAAAAAAACCAAACATATCGAGAGAGAGAGCAGAGAGAACACACTCACTCTCTCACACACTCGCTCGCTCGCTCTCATTCTCACTCTCGCTCACACTCGCTTTTTTTTTTTTTTTTTTTTTTTTTACACAGGGATTGACAAGGTTAAGGATCCCTAGCTTTATTGACAAGCTATTTACAGGTTAAGGATTCCTAACTTCATTGGCAAGCTAAGAACTGTTATCTACATCAGCTCATTTGAAAGCATTTTTATTGTTAGGAGACATACAAGTAGGGAACAGGATGAAATTGGAGCCATCTGTGGGCCAGCATTTTCATTTGATCAACTGACTTTATCTCGTTGACATCATTATGCTGTACGAATGTGTTTCTCTCTCACACACACCCCTCACACACACCCCTCACACACACACCCCTCACACACACACCCCTCACACACACACCCCTCACACACACACCCCTCACACACACACCCCTCACACACACACCCCTCACACACACACCCCTCACACACACACCCCTCACACACACCCCTCACACACACACCCCTCACACACACACCCCTCACACACACACCCCTCACAACACACACACACCCTCACACACACACACCCCTCACACACACACCCCTCACACACACACCCCTCACACACACACACACACACCCCTCACAACACCACACACCCCTCACACACACACCCCTCACACACACACCCCTCACCACACCACACCACCCTCACACACACACACCCCTCACACACACGCACCCCTCACACACATGCACCCCTCACACACATGCACCCCTCACACACATGCACCCCTCACACACATGCACCCCTCACACACATGCACCCCTCACACACATGCACCCCTCACACACATGCACCCCTCACACACATGCACCCCTCACACACATCACCCCTCACACACACACCCCTCCAAACCCACACATGCACCCCTCACACACAAGCACCCTCACACACACACACACACCCCTCACACACACCCCTCACACACCCCTCACACACACCCCTCACACACACACACCCCTCACACACACACCCCTCACACACACCCCTCACACACACACACACCCCTCACCACACACCCACCTCCACACACACACCCCTCACACACACACCCCTCACACACACACCCCTCACACACACACCCCTCACACACACACCCCTCACACACACGCACCCCTCACACACACGCACCCCTCACACACACGCACCCCTCACACACACGCACCCCTCACAAAACACGCACCCCTCACACACACGCACCCCTCACACACATGCACCCCTCACACACATGCACCCCCACACACATGCACCCCTCACACATTTCACCCCTCACACATGCACCCCTCACACACACACACACCCCTTACACACACCCCGTACACACCCCTCACACACACACCCCTCACACACACACAACCCCTCACACACACACACCCCTCACACACACACACCCCTCACACACACACACCCCTCACACACACCCCTCACACACACACCCCTCACACACACACATCTCACACACACACATCTCACACACACACCCCTCACACACACACCCCTCACACACACACCCCTCACACACCCCTCACACACACACCCCTCACACACACACCCCTCACACACACCCCTCACACACACCCCTCACACACACGCACCCCTCACACACCGCACCCCTCACACGCACCCCTCACACACACGCACCCCTCACACACACGCACCCCTCACACACACGCACCCCTCACACACACCCCTTATACACACACACCCCTTATACACACACACCCTTACACACACACACAACACACACACCACACACACCACCCCTCACACACACACCCCTCACAACGCACCCCTCACACCGCACCCCTCACACACGACCCCTCACACACGCACCCTCACACACGCACCCCTCACACACACGCACCCCTCACACACACGCACCCCTCACACACAGCACCCCTCACACATCACGCACCCCTCACACACACGCACCCCTCACACCACGCACCCTCACACACACGCACCCTCACACACACGCACCCCTCACACACGCACCCCTCACACACGCACCCCTCACACACGCACCCCTCACACACACGCACCCCTCACACACACGCACCCCTCACACACACCCCTTAACACACACACCCCTTACACACACACCCCTTACACACACACACCCTTACACACACACCCCTTACACACACACCCCTTACCACCACACCCCTTACACACACACCCCTTACACACACCCTTACACACACACCCCTTACACACACACCCCTTACACACACACCCCTTACACACACACCCCTCACACACACACACACACACCCCTCACACTCACACACACACCCCTCACACACACAACCCCTCACACACACACCCCCCTCACACACACCCCCCTCACCACACCCCCCTCACACACACCCCCCTCACACACCCCCCCTCACAACACACCCCCCTCACACACACCCCCCTCACACACACCCCCCTCACACACACACCCCTACACACACACCCCTCACACACACACACCCCTCACAAACACACACACCCCTCACACACACACACCCCTCACACCACCCCCCTCACACACCCCTCACACGCACCCCTCACACAACGCACCCCTCACACACAAGCACCCCTACACACACTCACCCCTCAACACAGCAGCCCTCACACACACGCACCTCACAACACACGCAGCCCTCACACACACGCACCCCTCACACACACAGTCAAAACGCACCCTCACACACACGCACCCCTCACACACTACGCACCCCTCACACACAGCACCCCTCACAACACGAACCCTACCACTAGACCCCTCACAACACCGCACCCCTCACAAACACGCACCCCTAACACACACGCACCCCTCACACACAGCAGCCCTCCACACACGAAGCCCTACACACCACGCACCCCTCACACACAGCACCCCTACACACACCTCAAAAACACACCCTCACACACACACACCTCACACACATACCTCACACACACGACACTTCACACACACCTCACACAACGCACACCTCACACACACGCACACCTCACACACCTCACACACACGCACACCTCACACACACACAACACACACACACACACCTCACACACACCTCACACACACACGCACACCTCACACACACGCACACCTCACACACCCTACACACACGCACACCTCACACACACACACACCCACACACAACCTCACACACACCTCACACACAACACTCACACACACCTCACACACACCTCACATACACACCTCACACACACCTCTCACACACACACTACACACACAACCCTCACACCTCACACAAACTCGCACTCACACACACACAAATCACACACACACCTCAAAACACACACACCTCACACACACAACACACCTCACACACATACACACACACCTCACACACACACACACACACACACACCTCCACACACACACACCACTCATACCACAAACACACTATACACACACAATCACAACACACCTCACACACACCTCACACACACCTCACACACAACTCACACACACCTCACACACACCTCACACACACACACACACACACACACACACACACACACAACCTCACACACACCTCACACACACCTCACACACACCTCACATCACCTCACACACACCTCACACACACCTCACACACACCTACACACACCTCACACACACCTCACACAACCTCACACACACCTCACACACACCTCACACACACCTCACACACACACCTCACACACCACCTCACACACACACCTACACACCACTCACACACACACACAAAACCTCACACACACACACAAACCTCACACACACGACAAACCTCACACACACACAAACCTCACACACACAAAACCTCACACAAACAAAACTCACACACACACAAACCTACACACACACACACACACAACACAACAACACACACACACTAACAACCACACACACACCTCACACACACAACATCTCACACACACTACAAACCTCACAACACACAACCCTCACACACACACCTCACACACACACTCCACACACACCTCACACACACACACCTCACACACACACACCTCACACACACACACCTCACTACACACACACCTCAAACACACACACCTCACACACACACACCTCACACAACACACATCACACCACACACACTCACACACACACACCTCACACACAACACCTCACACACACACCTCACACAACACACCTCACACACACACCTCACAAACACACTAACAAAAAACCTCACACACACACCTCACACACACTCACAACACCTCACACACAACTACACCTCATCACACACACACATCACACACACACACTCACACACACACACTACACACACACACTCACAAAACACACATCACACACACCCTCACCACACACCTCACACACACACACCCTCACACACACACACACCTCACACACACACCACACCTCACACACACACACACCTCACCACACACACACCTCACACCACACACACCTCAACACTACACACACACACCTCACACACACACACGCACCTCACACACACACACCTCACACACACTCACACACACCTCACACACACCACACACACACCTCACACACACAACACACCTCACACACACCTCACACACACACTACACACACATACTACACACACACCTCCACACAACACACTCCATCACACACACTCGCACACACACACACACACACAACCTCCACACAAAACACCTCGCACACACCTCCACACACACACCTCACGCACAATCACACACACACAGCACACACACA